TTAAATTTTCATTTTAAGTACCGGATTTCATCTTCTTTTATATGCCGTGTCCCTTCAAGACGTGGACAATCATGGCTCTTCACAATTTCTATCCTTTGCAGATAGAATCAATATTTGTCTTCTTATTATCTCTCCCGTCCATGTTCTACCATCTTGGCCACTGTTTCATTCCACCCCTCTTGCATATAATATGTTCTGTGAATGTCAAATTCCCCAGTATGGTCGTATCGATCAGATACATCTTTCATATTTCCTTATAGAATGAAAAAAAATGCGTTTACGTTACTAATTTTCAACGAATCCTATTTCTGTTACGGCTACTTTATATTTAGAAGATATTCAATTAAAAGTTTTTATGTCAGTAGATATTACACTGTTGGATGAAAAAAAACATAGAAAAATGTCACAGGAGCTATGATAGATTATTGAGTATAATGCTTAAAGTGGGGGAAAAGTATTAGATCTTTGTATAAATGGCCAGCATATATTAGCATATTATTAACATATATAATTTACTTTATTACTTTAAATTTGACTGTTTATTAAAATATTCGTTTATTACTATAAATTAAATATGATTTGCATTTTATTCATATATATTAAATAAATTAAAATATCGTTCTGTTAAATATTCAACTTATTTTATTCTAAGTTTCTTCTCTCGCACTTCTCGCTTGTGGAACTCACTTCCGTTTTCTTGCTTTCCTGTCAAATGTGATTTTCACAAATTTAAATTCAATGTCAATTGTTATTTTTCGTCTACTTAATTCCTATTCTTTTAAGGTTCTCTCTCCTTAATAATGTTTCTTTTTTTTCTTTTTATTCTTTTAAGGTTCTCTCTCCTTAATAATGTTTCTTTTTTTTCTTTTTATTCTTTTAAGGTTCTCTCTCCTTAATAATGTTTCTTTTTTTTCTTTTTATTCTTTTAAGGTTCTCTCTCCTTAATAATGTTTCTTTTTTTTCTTTTTATTCTTTTAAGGTTCTCTCTCCTTAATAATGTTTCTTTTTTTTCTTTTTATTCTTTTAAGGTTCTCTCTCCTTAATAATGTTTCTCTTTTTTTCTTTTTATTCTTTTTAAGGTCTCTCTCCTTAATAATGTTTTTTTTTTTTTTTATTCTTTTAAGGTTCTCTCTCCTTAATAATGTTTTTTTTTTTCTTTTTATTCTTTTAAGGTTCTCTCTCCTTAATAATGTTTCTTTTTTTTCTTTTTATTCTTTTAAGGTTCTCTCCTTAATAATGTTTTTTTTTTTTCTTTTTATTCTTTTTAAGGTTCTCTCCTTAATAATGTTTCTTTTTTTTTTTTTATTATTTTTAAGGTTCTCTCTCCTTAATAATGTTTTTTTTTTTTTTTTATTCTTTTAAGGTTCTCTCTTTTTAATAATGTTTAATAATTTTTTTTTCTTTTTATTCTTTTAAGGTTCTCTCTCCTTAATAATGTTTCTTTTTTTTTTCCCCATGTTCTTTCACAATCAGAAATCACTTAGTGACGTCATTGCCTTGCTTTGAATGAAATGGTTTAAAAAGAAACTATAAACTATAAAGTATGCCTTTTATCATAAAAAAAATACTTAAACGTATACGTAAAAAAATGTCATCATTATTATTATTATTATTATTGTGTATGTTATGTTTGCTTCTTTGTATCCTGTAGAGCCGGGCCCAAACTGTGGTCCTTAGGCCCTATAGTAGCCTTTAATTGATAGCACATTTCTTAGTATATGGGATATTCCTAGTAGAACGATTTTCTGGGCAACTTGTATGTTGACGTTATCTGGGACACTGTTAGTAAAATTGTCCATTCTTTTTCTCAAGAGGCCCAGAGTTAGGATTACTATAAGTACTGTCTCAGTCTTCATTCCTCACATCAAGTTAATCTCGATCTCCAAGTATTTGGACAATTTCTCGATAATTTTTATGTAGTTTTTTTCTCTCAGATGGAACTGCTATGTCAATAAGCATACACTTCCTGAATTTCTTGTCTTTTATGATAATATCAGGTCTGTTGGCTTTTATTTCTCTGTCAGTTTGAATTGGCATGTCCCAGAGGATAGTTACATCGTTATTTTGGGTAAATGTGTTTGGCTGGTGGTCATACCATCTCTCAGTGGTTTCGAATTTGTGTTTCTTGCATATCTATTATTATTATTATTATTATTATTATTATTATTATTATTATTATAAATTAAAAGCGATTTTTCCTCGATAAAATTGTGACTTTTTTCGATCACATATCAATTATGTTGTAATCGATGTTTTTGGATGATATTACAAAATATTGAAGTAAAACAGTCTAACTTCTTACACCAATTACTCAAAAGTTTTCATGTCTTTTCATGCCTCTTTATTTGGAAATACTTTTGGAATTAAATATGCAAAACCTGAAAGATGTTTCTGATCGACACAATGAGATATAACCAAAGATGGCATGACATGTTTTGTGCGCTGCAAAGCGAAGGACACTGGGTTTGAATTATATTGTAGTAGAACTCACAGCCATCACGTTAAAACAACGGTTCACGTCCTATCACCGAAGTTAAGCAACGTCGAACCTAGTCACTACTTTGATGGGTGAACGCATGGGAATACCAGGATCTGTAAGTTTGGGTGTGCAGGCTCGCTATGAGAAATTGGTGTGCCGAATTTGAATTCCAGCCGGGTTCGTTATGCTGTAAAAATTAGTAGGACTGTACCTATTTGGGGGTGATATTCAGGCGGGTAGACGGAAATAAATAAATATACTGTTTAAGAAACCAACAGAGCGTCTATTCAAATACAATTATCTACTAAAAAATAACGTATATATATATATATATATATATATATATATATATATATATATATATATCAAATATGTGGGGAAGTTTAATTTATTTTACGATGAATCATTTATATAAAAAGTAAATTAGTAAAGTTAATGATACAAAATGGCGAAACTAAATTTTGAAAATGCATTAACCCACTAACCACTTGATGAATGTTATGATCCTTGTTTATTAAAATTATAAACTGTATTAGGTCTTCCTTAGCTATGCAAGTACTTTCGACAGGTTCTCCGGTCATCATCAGACATGGAAACTATTTTCTTTTTGATAAAATTCAGGTACCATCCGAGGCGAAAAAATATAATGCAAATCGAAATATGTTTTTTTGAAATGTGTTTTTGATAACAGACACTTGTGGAGCGTGCAGTCGCAACGTTAAAGTTGAATTTTTGAAAATTTAAATGAGAGAGTTTTTTTACTAATATGACAATTTAAGAATTTTTTGTTGTAGGTGTTTATCAGGCAACATGGTATGAACTAAATAGTTCAATAAATAGAGCACTGTCTCAGTTGTTATCCCGAAAATTTGCACGTTGGATCAGTTCTTTTAAATCAAATATGTGGTGCAGTTTAATTTATATTACAATGAATCATTCATACAAAAAATTAAATTAGTATATATATATATATATATATATATATATATATATATATAATTGTCTGTCGGACAGCAATCCTTCTTCAATTCATGTTTCAGTAAAAATGTTTGGCAAGTGTTTTCTTTTCTTTGACATAAAATGCGTAAAAACTGTTTGAATATATCCAAGCGCTTTCGGTTATTCTATTAAACATTATCAAGAATTTTGTTTTTGCATATTTTTATGTGTAATGTGATAGGAATGATTTAAGGAGAAACTTGTACGAATGCAAGAAAAATTGAATAAAAAGCTTAATCGCAGTCCCTTACCAATCGTCATTAATGAAACTTAATGGTAAGACAATGGTGTCTTCATGTAGCTAATGTCTTGTCATTATGTGGCAGCTATTTCTGCTACACACTTTATATGAAAGATTGTGTTTCACCCAACACAAACGTTTGATCAAGGCCAGTTTGAAAGCAAGCAATATTTGTCAAGTTTTCAATCTCAGGTACAAATCAAACTAAATGTCCATTGATCTGTCTCTACACTGAATTTCACGGAGATTGCATCCATTCGTCAGGGAACTTGATAGTGAAATTTTACTCAGAATAGGTACAGATAAATAAATATTTCATTTTATTTGTTTCTACATACAAGTGTTGAAAATATCGATTACATAGAAGAACCGGTTGGGAAACTATTATAAATGATTTGGAAATTCTAGATTAAAAAAAGTGGCTAAACCTAAATAAATGGTAAATGTTACGTTTCTACACATTTTCCTATTTGTTCTGTATTTAATCCTATAAATATCGTTTGTATTGTTAATGTTAAACGCTCTCTTATATTTCAATATTTATTGCGTAGAAAAGAGTAAACTATGTGATAGCCTGCAAGGATTGGAATAACAATAGTCAATTTGCTTTCTCCGCAGTACTCCAAGGATAGGTTCTCTTATTAGTAATTAATAAGTACAGTGCATTATGCCACAAGATCAGAAATAGTGGCCCACAGTGCGAATCGAACTCACACCGATAGTAATAGCCTGATAAATTCGCTTGCTACACACTACTCCAAGGCGATGTTCTTTACGTAGTATTTACTAAGCTTAGTACGGATCGAACTCACTAGAGTACTAATCATCTTAGTTTTTTAACCACTGCACTACCTCTAAACATCTTGCCTAAATATATTTTTTTTAATTTACCTGTAGTTTTATTTAATATTAATGCAAAGCTTGAGTTTTTACTCATTAGTGTGTTCTTCTTCCCCAATTAAACTTTTTAATTGATTAAAAAAAAAAGGAGATGTTTGATTTAAATATATTTTTAATGTCTTGTCCTCATAGGTTTCCCTCTAAATTCCCTGGTCAATGGCGGTCCAATCATGAAAAAATGATTTCATCTTTTTTTTTTTCTTTCTGAAGTATTAGGATTTTGATCCCCGAAATTTTATTTCTGTTAGATTGAAATTTTAATATTCGGATCACCACAATCAATAGAGAATTAAAACTAATCACGCAAGAAATCGATTTCATCGATCTGTGCTTATTGTTTTCTCCTTGTAGGTGTTCTGACCTTTATCAAGTTGTCTGCATATGTGCGTGCGTATCTGAACATTGCTCTTGTCTATCTACGAGTAAATATTGATTTCTAAACAGGCCCTGACGAAGTATTTATTGGAGAAGGCAGTTTGATGCACCAATTTAACCTACTTGGAGTTCGCATAAAATGACACTCAATTCCTGACAGCAGAAATAGTAGTAACAGTAGAAAATGTAACTGTGGAGTATGCAGTTGGTAACTAACAACGTGGGTGGCATGCAGGTTAGTGCACCAAGTTTTAGTACAGGAAGTGGCTCTGCTTTACAGTAGTGTGTGAAGATTCGAATTCAAGTAAAGTTCGCTGCTTTGCACTCACTCATTTCTTGTTTGGTGGCTGAAACGGTTGCTAATTTAGCTTCGGTAGCAATGGTCGATATTTGAATGTAAAGGTCTTGGGTTCAAAAACAAAAATCTTACTACACACAAGATATAAATTGATCTCGGTATAAAATGGTTTTATTATATTATGAAACCGTATTTAGTTAAACTACATATGCATTGTGTTTAAACTACTTCTGTCCCATAATACTTGTTACATTTACACATTCATTTCATATACTAAATGTATCAACTATTATGGGACAAAGGAATTATTGATCCCTGTACCATAATAATTGATACATTTACACATTCATTTCATATACTAAATGTATCAACTATTATGGGACAAAAGAAATATTGATTATTATCACTGCCCCATAATAATTGCTACATTTATACATTCATTTCATATACTAAATGTACCAATTATTATGGGGCAGAGATTTGCGAATAACGTAAGATTATCATCGGTATGTAAGTAATCGGCAGCCCGAGTTCAAATCCTGCTTTAAGCTGTTATGTTCATTTTGGCCGTAATGTCTTTGGAAAAGATGCTATGGGTTAAATAGTATGGTAGACTGGCCCCTCTAGCCTTGGATGACAACCAATCTAGAAAGAAAACTTGATTCAAAACAGTGGAGAAGGCAATGAGAAAGCACTCCCCCATCATTCCTAAGAAGCTATGGTAATTTACAGATGTTAAAAGAAGTAAGCTAGGGGGGGGGGGATCTATGATTTTCGATGTCCTGAAGGTTCATGACATTAAAAAGTATTTATAAAACATCGGTCATACTTCTGTGTTTTTATTGTCAAGTTTTAAAAATATATTCCTCAGGGTACGGCATATCTGTGATGTTGAACGACAATGGAGATACTCGAATATTGTATAGAAAAAGAAATCACGTTAGTTATTTACTAAGGTCACCTGTCAGTGCTTTGGGAAAGTCCACTGGAAAGATTGAAGTCGATATCTGCCCATTATGTTGAAAGATTTTACGCTTAGTTGGTTATTTAAGGGTGATAGGAATTCATCCTTTCTGCTAACTAAAATACGGGATTTATTTAGTTGATCTGATTGTGTCTCATACTTCGGACCTTGTACAAAAACTTAAGCTTAAAAGGGAGATTTTTATTTATTTTGTTTTTCCTTACTAAAATTAAAAACGGAAAAAATTAGATTTTTCTGAACGAAACGCTTATTATAGAAAACATGCATTTTTCCAAATCAATCTGGATGGAAAGATTACAGAAAGAGTAAACAGCGTAGGCGTCTTGGTGTGAGGTAATGGTTAACGAGGCTAGTCCGATTATCCGTTAATACTGGGTTCGATCCTTATTTTGCTAATCCATACAATATTCGGCATTAAATAACTTAATCATTGGTATGTCGCAAAATCAACTACTATAATAAGTAGCTTTTCTTAATTTATGAATATTACCGTAAATTCGTAATACCGAAATATTACCGTAAATTCGTAATACCGAAATATAACGATTAAAAACAGTTTATCATTTTTTTTCTCATCAAAACAAAAAAGCACAACCCCAGACTTATGTTATATATAAACAAAAATATAACATTAAAGGCTAATTACATTTAGCATTTATTTTGTAGGTAATATTAGTCTGGGGTTGTATATGTTTTAGTCTCTATGCACATTTTTTGTTCTCGATTTTTGCTCTAATGAAAGAGGAACGATAAACCGGTTTAACTGCTTTTTTAATTCGTATATTTCGGTAATAACAATTTTCGGTAATGTTTCGGTATTACCAATTTACGGTAATATATATTTTTGTTTCCCCTCTTTTTTTGTTATGAATAGCCTTTTAATATGTCTGTGCTTACTTCTCTAATATAAAAAATACATATAAAAATTACTAAAACAAGTTTCATAATATCACTTGAAAGGGTTGGAATCAGTAAGTCCTAATAGCCATATCTCTTTTTTCGTCACTGTGCACTTTGTTGTCCTCGATTTTTGCTCTAATGAGAATGAACTGATAAACCGGTTTAGCTGCTTTTTAACCCTTATATTTCGATAATTTACGGTAATAATTCGGTATTACCAATTTACGGTAATATTTCAGTATTACCAATTTACGGTAATAAATATTTTTGTTATGAACGTTCTTTTAATAGATCTTTTTTTTATTGCTGTAACAAAATTTTGTACTCCTACCAAAATATTTCAGTACAGATACATTGTTGATTCACCAATTGGTTAAATAACATTCTTAAATGTCGGGGTTATATTGTTCCAATAATCTT